CCTCGCCTGCCTGCAGTAGTCGCGGGTATCTACAACGTACTTGGGTAGAGTAAGCAGTTTTGGGTTAGACCTAACCTTACCCCAACATTTGAAGGCCCAGGAATCCAGGATCCAGGAAAGATGCCTAAATCAATGAACGGCTCGGACTTTTCCTCTTCCTCTTCTGATGCCTCCCCGTTCGTGAGCGGTGGACTGTTCCAAGAGTCTCGTGGGATGGCTGTTGAGATGAATCGCTCTGGTCTTTTCGGAGAGCCTCGTCCAGATCAGCTTCATAGAGCACGCCATGACCTTCTTCCACGGCTGAGGGGCGGCATTTTTGAGCAAAGGCGAGGATCACTCGGTGGTGCTGCATGTCCACTCTCCACTATCCCCAGCAGCCACTCACTCGGTAGCTAACCAACCCGGTCCCCAATCCATCCAACTTCTCTAGGATCCCAGGGATCCCCGCCAATGATGACATCCTTCTGCAGTGCCCATACTTTGGTCCTTGGAGTCCGGACGAAAGCCTCGATGAAGACTGATTGCATTTGCGTCTCCCTAAGGCAGAACCCCTTTCCCCCTCGCCAAAGCCCCCTTTCGCTTGTAACGACAGCCTTCGTGGAAGTACGAGAAACAGTGTCACGTTCCAAGGACCTTCTGTCAGCCACGGCGGTACTACAACCTCTGTGCCCTCGAACTTCGAAGCATACACAAGCCGTCTTCCAAGTTCCAAGGTTCGCTGAGACTGCTCCCTCGAGACCACTCCTGGGCCTTGCTGCCTTGTGTCCCCGAAGATTTGGATGCTCGAGTTGGTCTTCGGGAATGTCACACCCACGGGCGGCCTCACCTCACACAGCAGGAGACGATGTCCCCTTGGCGAGCTTGGTCTGTCCTCCCATTCTGCGTGCAGCTTTTGAGAAGTTACCTTTCAATCGCAACGTCTCATGCGAGATTCGGCGAGAAGAGAGCAATTGGTCATGAGGTGGACAGCGCGCAATCTTCCGTGCCGTAGGCAATTGGCGGTGTTAAACAAAATACCCCGCATCACTCGATTTCGATTTCCATCTCGATTTCCATCAGGCGAGGTCGGACCGAGTCGAAATTATCCCACGTGATGGTGCAGATAATATAAGTTGTGATTCGTCTGCACAATTTAAGCGAGGGATGAAGGAGCCGCTGAAGCTGGAAGGAAAGTCAATAAAGCCGAAGAGAAAAGAGCACTGTAGACGAGTCCTTTTGCTTGTCGAGTGTTTATTTGATCTCGGAACATGTAATACTCGGTTCGCCTCATGAGATGAGCTATGTCATAGGCGAACCGAGTATTATTTGTCGAAAAGCGGCTCATGAACATATTTCCCGTATCCCTTATAGGGAATTTTCACGAGAAAATGCCTATCTCGAAAGGGGTATGTTGATAGGGCCAGGGAGGAGGACACCGTCATAACTCGAGCCACAAGTCTATTTCGGCGTGTCAGAAAGAATTAGACGAGGCGAGGCAGAGAAATCCTTCAATTGCTGCTTCTTGATAACCGCTGTGACAGTGTACACGAAGTACTCATGGAATTCAGGTCTCCCCCTATTTCGCTTGAAGGTCTTCGACATTCATACCCAAATACGTACTGCAACCAGTTCAGGCGTGTAGAGAGGGGAGATTGGCCCTCACTGCCGGTCGTTTGACCATTCCGTGCGTGCCCGAGTTGCGCTCTTCAAAGTATGCCTCCATAGCAAGAGCGAGCTCTTTATAGCGTACATCAATAATTCTAGGGTCACGAATGGAAGAGAAGGGGGTGGGATCGACCTTGCTAATTAGAATGTCTTTCAGACTATCGAACAACTGAAAGGTTCCAATACGTAGGGCCGCTAGGATTGTATGCTGAGAAACCGAGAAACCGAGAAACCGAGAACCTCCATCCGTCGATTACCAGCCGCTGGATCCTTCGAAAGATGTTTGGCCAATCCACACTCACAACATTTGGTGACGGTAGGGGTGTTTCGCCACAATTACGAAGCACCTCCAGAGCGAAAGGGCCAATTTCCATATGCAAAACGTCTAAGTCTGGTCGGATATAGATCTCTCTTCTCACGATGCCATATCCGCATTCGTGTCCGGGTTTGCCAGGACGACCAGGTCCGTCGTGGTATGTTTGCGGAAAGATTTGGTATGTCCGCAACATCTCGTGTCTACTTTCAAGATTTATGGCATGGGTGATAGGCAGGCATATGAAATGGCGAACCCCTTGGGATTGATCGATGAAGCCTAGGAACATGAAATGGCTAGCGCTCGTGCCATCGCTTCCTCCCACACCTTTATTCGTACTTCAGTCGGCAGATGGCTGAAGCAGTGGAAGAACTTCAAATTGCGGTGATCTTGTACCCATAGCTCTTCCTCCGGGGCTGGAAGCTCAAGAAAGAAGGGCATGGTCGTTGAGATATCCTGGCTAGATGAAGGCATAGCGATGGCGCTGTCTTGGACTAACATGGTGAATAGTTAGCAACTAGGGGTCTCTTCTAGATACGACACAAAGAACTGAGATGTATCGTGATAACTATAGGGTAAGATGTAGATGTTTATTTGGAAACAACACAGGCTGGCCAAAAGATTTGACGGTCATGTTCTGTCCGTCATTTGCTCCTGCCAATTTCGACCAGCATAAAGGAAATTTTGGAAGTCAGGAACGGAAAACGTCTCACTCAACAATGAACAAATACATTTCATATATTATCATATGATTCATCAAATACCCAGACAGTCTCGAAAAGCAACACCTACCAATTAATTAAATGCAGGAACTTGAACGGCTCAAATTACAAAAAAAGACCCTGAGATGCTTGGGAAGTGGATTTTCCGTTGATATAAAAGCAGAACATCAAACAAGGCTTCTTGAAACACATAAAAAGATAGTGATCCAACGCACTGCAAGCACCAGATGCATCGAATGTAACGGGGCGACGGCAACGCAGCAAATACAGAAGCGAACCTCCTTACCTCTGTTTCTCAACCTGCACAACGGATCCGAACTACAGTAGACTTGTGTCGGTCCATCTCCGCGGTGGCGAAGCAACTCTATCTTCTTTATCTTACTGCTCCCGATCGAAATCTCGGAAGACTGGGCTAGAAAAGCCAGTGATAGAGGGAGTTCTCATCCTTTGGTGACCCCTATCTTGTCCAAGGAAGCAACAGCAGCTAGTAAAAAGATATGGCAGTGGCCTACGTCATAGACTGCATGTGTAAAAGACCTCTTTATAAAAACAATATTGGGCTTTGGAATATAGAGCCCCTTCAACACGAAAACTCATCTTTTCTGCCTTTTTTTCTTCTGGTCTTTGCATACCTAACCATAAATCTTCTGGCGATGTCTCACGATCAGACTCTTCTTTTATGTTCGTTAGAGGTTCGCTTGGTAGAGACAATTGTCTCTACGCCGCGCTGTCTTCTTCTCCACTTTCTGGATCTTGAGATGCCACCATTTGACAAGGTCAGCGCCACTCTCAACGACAAGATTGATGCCCACACAAAATAATGGGATGATGTGCCACCGATGGACGGAGATGGCAATCTAGTAGAACCTATCCACGATTTGTGAGAAAGGCTGGGGCTTTTGAGGCTGAACCAGCCGACACATGGAGGCTTAGGTGTTCCTCCCAACAAGCGTAAAGAAGGCCTATGTGAATCAGAAGAAGCCAAGACAGTCAGTCCCATTTATAACCTTGAGCTTCGATATCTGCTTGGTCCCATGCAATTGGTAGCTTCCAGCCCTTCGTGAGCAAGCCCCTAACAAACTCTCTCGCCTACTCATTATTCTTGCGGTTTTTCTTGCCTCCTATGTCACCTCTCCAAACATTCCTGATTCGCATGTCCCTGCCCTCAAGGATGAAGTCCAAGAACTTCTACTACACGCTATTCAAGTAGCTCTTGTTCACAAAGACAGCATTCCCAATCCATCTGCGACTAAGTTCTTGCCCCATTCGTAGTCCCAGGAGAACACATCCCGTAAATCTCCACGGATAGGCCGTTAGGCGCAGACCCAACTATGCCACAGCTTCGACTTTCCTTCGGGATTATTGAACATCGCTATACACTGAGCCCAAAGAACAGGTTCCTAAACATCTTCAATCCATGCCGAAAAGCATTGAAAAGGTTGTACATCTCTCTTCTTCTTCCCCTTGTAGTCGGGCTTTGCCTGTTCGTCTTCGAGGCTAATTGAGTTGAGGTATAAAAGCCAATCATCCGCTGTCCCATTCACATATGATAGAGTGCGAAGGGAGTAGCCTTGTTCTACTAGTGTTGAGTATTCGTGGAGGTGAGGCGCTGGCTAGATTTTCGCGAGTTATTCCTAGCCCATCGTCACCTTCAATTAGCTCTTGGACTTGCTTGGGAGTATATATTTCGGATGCATAGTCTCGGTCTTCCAGGATAAACGCGTGAAAAGTCGAGTGGATAAGACCGCTGAAGTGTGGTGCGACATGTACCTCCTCCGTCATGCTAGGGGAGCTTCGTAATTAACAAATTGTATTTCGCGTCTCGAGCTTGTTAACTTCCAGTGGAAAGAAACAAGAGCTAGATATCTCGATGGATTTGTCGCATCGACGATTCTAGTCCAAATAGGCAAAGGCAAGAAAGACTTGCCAACGTTGGGAGAGAACGCTGAAAGGTGTTGGGAAAGACTCCAATCTGACCGCCATGGAACGATTCTGCCATAACCACTTTGGGCTATTCTGCCATCTGGTTACGAGTACCGAAAGCGGTCACGCTTCCATTTATTTAGTAGAGGCCACTCTCCCTTGAACAACATCTCTTTCAACTCGCCCAAATCATGTTGTAGACAGTAAATCCTTACCAATGATTTTATTCATTCTTCCAGAGTTGTTTCTACAGGAGAAATGCTTAAAGTCATTGCTTCATTCCCTTACTTCGTTAGGTCCTCTATTCCCACATGGGCAGACCTCGGGGTTTAAAACAACTCCGCCCGTGTGCAAAAGTATAGAAACAAATAACGATTCAACCTCCAATCAAAACAAGATCCGGTATGGTGTAGGGGTTAGCATCGCCCGCTTTCATGTTCATTCTTGAGCTGAGGAGCCGGGTAGACCCGGGTTCGATTCCCGGTACCGGAATTTACAACAATTTCTTTTTTTCCCTTGTGCATGCTCCTTAGATGCGACGATTTTGTTGTTCAGTGTTGTCTATCAGGATAAACTGGTGTATGTAATAGGGCTGATGCTGAGTCTGCCTTGCCCCCTTAAGCGAGGTGGATGGTTTATCGCTACAAACACAAATAGGAGGGCTCGGGCGCAATACTGTGGTGTGAACCTGTGGCTATGCTTTTGGGAAGATAATATTTCTTTTACTACATTTCATTTATCTCTATCCAGAATCCATGAATGTGGCTGTTGCACACCCTGTCGCAATAATCTCTATGAACAATGGACAAGGATAGTTCGTTCATAGGTTACGGGACTTTGCATTTGCAGATTTAGAATGTGGCTGTAAATAGTCATCGGTGTTGCACAAGTGCAAGTAGAAGAGATCCATATGAAAATATTTTATTGCCTCCAACTCCATATGTAACCTTTACTAGTAATACAATAACTCTGTACAAAGCAAGTGAATAATGCCGCAATCATAAGTCATACAAGCCCTCCGCGCTGGCTATCCAATGAAGGTTCGTTACAATGCTTTTATCCACAAATGCGGTCGCCTAATCTTCCTTTGACACTTCCCAATAACCCAAGCACGCTATTCCTTCCCATGGCCTCGCTAGCATCCCCATCCTCGATCCCGAAGTTCATATTCCGCAACCTCCCTTCCATCTCCCTGCAACAAGCCAACGCTCTCAACTTCTCATTGCGTATCATCGTCCAGCTCTTCCACTGCTCCTCGCCATGCTCTGGAAACTCGCCGGAGCGAGCGAGGTGAATGGAAGAAAGGATATCGTAGCAGGAACATACCTGTTGCAATATGACGGCATATAGCATTGAAATCACGGAGGTGTGAGGCCGATTGCAGTGCGTGCTCTGTTCACAGACCTCGAGGGCGTGCGTGCTGGTTTGTAGGATGTGCCTTTGAGATTGTGCAATCTGAGAACGGGTCTCGAGGCGGGACTGCTGTTGAAGGCACGAATGGATGCCATTGAGGATACTAAGGGCCGTTGAGAAACACTCGCAGGTAGCTGTCATGGCATCGTGTGGGAATGCTGGGGAGGTGGGTGTGGGAAGCTGCCCCATGGAAGGGGTGCTTGGCTGTGGAAACTTTTGGAGCGCGATCTGCTGTGCGAAATAGGGGCTATGGAGGAGGTCAGGAGAGGGCCAGTTGATGGGATATTTCTCGTTGCTTGGAGCTAGGCCGATGGGATCGAGTTCGTAGAGTGTGGTTGGATTAGGTGCCCATGTGCCAGGAGTAGGGGGGACACTTTCGTGAATTTGAGGCGCAAAACCATAAGATGATTCAATGGATGGGACTTCGAAACCTTTTCAAATGGTCAGTACTCGGGGTTTCCTTCTACGCCAATATAACAATATATAGGAAACGAACCGTAAAAGTTGTTCATTTCTTCCGAATGAAGTTCAGCATGCTGTGAAGTTGGCGAGTCCGTGAATGAATAACACCTCGAGTCGACACTTGTGCCTCTCAGGTCCATGGAAATAACTGATGGATCATCGTCTGGAGATATTCTCGCTTTTTTCTTGCGATTCTCCTCGCCAGTTTTGGTTTTCTGATCCGGCTTCACAGCGGCTGCACTGTACGTGCACACGCTCCTATTATTTGCACATCTTCGACAGCAATCCGGATCTCGACTACATTTCACCTTGAATCGATAGCATTGGTCACATGCTGGAGTGACCATCAATCTGTTGCCACCAGTCGTACTTTGAGTCCGGACGCGTGTTGGTGATGTCGGATTTGAAGTTGATGAATTCTCGGAAGACAATCCTTCTGGTAGTAAATCCCAGGATGATGACGTCCAAACACTTTGAGTCGGAGACCCAATATCTGCGAGACTTTAGCAACTAGAAGAAATGCTGTATGGAAAGTATCTTTACCTGTTACTGGTGGGGATCTTTGTGGTTCGGGTACTTCTGTGACTGGTTAGCTATCTATAGTGATGATGCCGCCGGGTTCGACGAACCATTCTTGAGATTTAGCAGACCAAAGAACTTGCCACCGCTTGACATTTCGCCAAGATCATTATTCGAGCTTTGGCGTCTGATCTTATTGCTTCTCTTGGGCTTTCCCATGAATTTTCCAAAACTGTAAGTACACGGATTTGCGGCGTCCAGGCACCGTTTGCAACGTGGTAGGCTCTTTGAGCAGGTTTGCTTTGTACGGTAGCATTGATCGCAAGCTTGTGATTCGGTATCCATTTTGTGGCTGAATATTTCTAACTTCCTGCTGACACTTCCCGCTCTGTTTCCCCGGTGGCGATCGAGGCGTTCTTAAATGGGACCTGAGATAATCAGTTGTGGTGGTTACAGAAACATAGTGCTTACTAGTCTAGGGGCCCCTATCTACCGAGCCTATCCTATTATGCACAACATCCAGCTACCAAAGTTTGTTACACCGAGTGCAAGGTGGCCTTACGCCCTCGTGGCTTGATGTGATGGCAGCCGACAACGTGCATCATGCTCAGGTGTAAACCCACCAGCTATTTTTAAAACTGTGATGGTACAGGTTTTCGCTATTAGACTACTGACTCCATATGAACTCCCTACTGGCACTAGGCTAAGTGGACAGATAAAAGAGCTTGGCAATCCTTTCAGAGAGCCCCCCTCGATCCGCTTATGCAATGTAACGGAGACTCCCAGATAAGTGCCTGGAGGCTGAAGAAAACGGTCATAATGTGGCGTCAAATTTGGGGTCTAAAATGGCTTATTAGAGTGTAGCTACGGAGGTACATGTGCGTAGGCAGACTCACAGCCACGAACCGTTCTGCTGCCTCCCCTGAATGCTCGCCTCGGGCCATAGACCGTCCGTCATTTCCCCGGCTTTTCGGGCATTTTTTTTACTATCAATTCATTGCTGCAGCTTTGCTCCAGAATTGGAAACTTCCAAATTAGGGCTGTACTGACTGAGAGTTGACTCTGGGAAGGATTTGGAGCGTAGCATTAATGTGATCGTGTGGCCCATTGAAGCTTATTGAGTCCGGCAATGCAGTGGTATCCTTGTAGCCACGAGGTTTGGAGAGCACATCCTCAATTAAGACAGAACATATACTTCCACAATCAACCACGGAATACTCGCTTGATGAAGCAGCAGAGCAGTTGCCGCACCGTGCTGCCTCGCTTGAGCATTGGGCTTGTTTGAAAAGGCTACCATTTTTTTTATACAATCATCGTGAATCGCAGCAACGGGGAATTCGCTAACCTTGGGTTTAACTTGAAACGCCACGGTATGAAGGAAATTCAAATAAACCGTCGATCGTTCCAACTCGAAAGCAATTGCGTAAAAGGTCGCGACATCGTTGGTACCGAAGGCTGCTTGGCTTCCACCAAATGCATCCTTCGAAGCCATCTCTGATAAAATCCTCATCGGCGAGCATCTTGGGGACGGGACGGTTGATGAGATCCTCTCCATCTTATCAGCCGTCTACACATGTTGATCCTCGAACGGTTAACGGTGACAGGTGAACGTCGGTACATGCCATGTCGCTTCGACCCCTCGAATCCTAACTAACCACCACTAAGGAGTCTGAAGAGCCCAACGGTCAACCAGCTGAAGGACGAAATGGCAAGGTGGGCTGGATAAAGCCTAAATGTGATGGCGTTAAGTAGGGTTGGTTATTCGCTGGGTGGTGACAGCGACGGGTTCTGAGCTGCAACACGAACAAGAAAGGGAGAGTTGCCTCTCGAAACGGAAGATCAATTAATTTGTAGTTCTAACGACCTTCGAAGCCAAAACAAGGGGCTTAGGAAGCCCAGCTTTCACGTGTCCAGCAAAGTATTCAACAGCTTCAGGAGCCAGCTCCGTGTGTTATGAGGTATCGGAAGTGTTGTTGCAGCACGTACAATATACCACTACTGTATAAATAGCTTCACTCTTCGTATTCCAAGATTATTGTTTGAAGAGGCTTCACACCCTTTGGAAAAATGTGAGTCCAGATCAGGAAGCTCTGAATATTACCTAAGGTTAATATGCAAGTGCATCCCACTTCTGCATTTTTGCTTCTGCAGAAATCACACCTGCATATTTTCACGTTCTTTTTCACCTGTTCTGAGTGTTCTCTCTCCAACTTATGGGATGGCTATCAACCTGCAGGTCTCACATCCATCGCAGTTGGCTCCCCTTTCTACGGGACTACTGCTCCTTGGACGGACATGACCTGGAAATCACATCACAACAGCCAGACAGATAGCGCCAAGTTCAATAAAACGCACGAAATTCCCCGGGCTGATAAGTTGATCTCGAATCTGTCTGGATCTCAATAGCTCGATCAGCTCCTGCAGATAATCCCACTTTCTAAGTACATACATAGCGGATCGCCTCGTTTACCGGATGATTGGACCGATTAGGGTAAAAATATGGGAACCTCACTGAGGAGAGAGAGACTTTATCCGAGTACCGAGACACATCTTCTGCGGGCAAAACACCTCCGCATATCGACCACCAGCCATCATGAATTCCTTTTCGCTGGGCTACAGAGTTTTCTCATCGTTTCACGACCTGTTCTTTCTTTGTAGACGGAGCAGATAGCACGGAGGTTGTACACGAAAGCCCGGGGGGAAAAAGGGCTCGAGATCGAAGGGTTTTGGCATAAACGCCTTGGATTCATGGTGGCTGTCAGACTTCGACCAGACTCATCAATTGCGCTGGAAATCCAATGACTGAATTGATGTTACACCCTCACGAAACGGAAACGAACCATGGTTGAGATGAGATGTCATGACTCGGAATCAGAAGAATTCACGAAGCCTCTTCTGGAGAATTGGCGTCAAAAGACAGGCCTACACAATACCCCCAACTTTGGCACTATGACAATGAACAAGAATCACGATTATGATCACCTGGAGGATAGCGAGGATGATAGACCCCGTCATCTAAATCAATGGAGGCTTCTATGCCTAACGATCAGTATGGGAGGATTGCAAACAATATGGACGTCGATCATGTCGCAAGGTTC